CTGTCCTCACCCCTGTCCTCACCCCTGTCCTCACCCCTGTCCTCACCTCTGTCCTCACCCCTATCCTCACCTCTGTCCTCACCCCTGTCCTCACCCCTGTCCCTCACCCACCCCTCTGCCCCACAGGGTTTTCACTGACACACAACCTGACAGAGATGGCTCTGAAGGGTCTGCAGGGTAAGCCGTCCCCGAAACCAGGTAAGAGCGAAGACCATGGGACCCTGCATGCCCACCACAGGCAGCCTGACGACGCAGGCCCCACATGCTGTGGCATGGTCAGCGGCGGGCAGAGGCCAGCCTGGTCTGCAGCGTGAGTTCTAGGACAGCAGGGAGAGATACAGAGAGACCCTGCCTCGACAACAAACAAGGAAGGTGAGATAAGGTCGATGCCGACATCACACCAGCCCCGCGTGAACAAAACCAAGAGCAGAGAAGAAACGTGCCAGGCTGGGGTGGCCTCTCCGCCCACACCCTGGTTCCAGAGCAGAGAGGAAGAACACAAGAAGGAGCCAGCATGCCTTCCCAGAGCTAAGGGGCCCTGCAGTGTGTGAACTAGCGGCGTGAAGTCCACCAGGTCCTGGGAGGCGAGAGGTGGGGTCTGTGGACAGGAACGGAATGTTCTGGAACTGGACGGAGGTAGGGTTGTAGAGCTTGTGGTTTGCCACTGAACTGCTGAGTCCTGACATGGAGCCACCACCACCAGGGCACTGGGGGCTGCTGGAGATGGAACCCAGGGCCTCGAACACGGGCTGGGCTGTGTGCTGACCACCACCCAGCTCCAGCACCCTCTGGCTTTTCTCCGCTCAAGGATTAGTAGTTTCCCCAAGACGGGTGCAAAGCCCTACAGTGCCTGCGGAGTACGGGCCTCCAGTGTGCCGTGCAGGGCTGTGTGACCCGGACGTCCTGTGAGGCACTGGGCTGCCTGTCAACTGCTAGTGTCCCAGAACCTGGACACACCAGCTCTTTCTCTTCCCAGCCAGCAGCCTGCACCCACCTCAGCCGGAGAAGAGCAGGGGCTTAATCCTGCCGGTTCCCTGTCTCAAGGATCGGGAAGGAGCCCAGGACCTGGTGTGAAGGGTCTCAGGGGGTGGTGTGAAGGGGCTCAGGGGGTGGTGTGAAGGGGCTGTGTGTGGTGTGAAGGGTCAGGGTGTGGTGTGAAGGGTCTCAGGGTGTGGTGTGAAGGGTCAGGGTGTGGTGTGAAGGGTCAGGGTGTGGTGTGAAGGGTCTGTGTGTGGTGTGAAGGGTCAGGGTGTGGTGTGAAGGGTCTGTGTGTGGTGTGAAGGGTCTCAGGGGGTGGTGTGAAGGGTCTGTGTGTGGTGTGAAGGGGCTCAGGGGG